GACCCCACCCACCCCTAAACAACCATTAAACTCTCATCCATTCATCCCTGGGACACAAAATGCTGCAGTTCACCAGAACCTTCGGCTGTTTGTTTTCTGATGAGGAACACTTGAAACAACTGCTGGAAYTTACTGAAGCAGCTAAAACTGGGGAGGAAATGCTTAAAGAAGAGGAACAGTAGCTAAAAGCTGATGTTTTTAGAATAGTAGCTAAAAGCTGATGTATTTAGAACAGTAGCTAAAAGTTAGTGTAATTAGAACACCAGCTAAAAGCTAATGCAATTAGAACACTAGCTAGAAGCTAAGAGAGGAAAAATGCTAGCCAAGTTGTAAAAAGCTAGTTAATCATGTCAAAGGTCAGCTGGAAGCTAAAGGAAGCAAAAAGTGAGATGATCTGAAAAAAAAAAGCTAAAAGGACAAAGAATGGTAGCTAAAAGCTAAATTAATCATAACAAACCAAAAACAGAACCAAAGCTGAAACAGAATAAATAAAGGGATGAGATGTTTCTGTGTAGATTATTTATACGTTTTACTTTTTATTCAAGTCCCAGCAGCCGGTGTTGTAGGAAAATCTGCTCCTCCTGTTGGGAGCGACTCCTCATGTGAACCATTTAGGACTGGTCTGACCTTAAAGCTGGACCAGTGATTCTCTCTAAGGTAAACCAGYAGGGGGGACAGATTTYCACAGGGGAACTGAATTTCRCACATCACCGGCTCCTGGATGAGCCGAACGTTTTGATGTCCGAGCAGCTAAAAAAAAAGTCTGCAGAAGTGGTTAAAGTTTGTGTGAATGAATGCTGAGTCAGCGTTCAGACGTGACTGCTGGCCTCTCGTGGAGGCGGGTGATACATCAGTGACGCTCCTCGCTCCCGTTTCCTTCCTGCCGTCGTGACAGCTTCCTGTGAGTTCATCAGAACCCTGCAGGGTCCTGGACTGGCTGACGGAGCCGGGCGGGCTCGGGTTCGAAGGCATGGAGCTCTTTATTTCAGGGTTTGCTCAGCAGCAGCAGGAGGAGGAGGAGGAGGTGCTCCTCCCCCTCCTCAGAGTCACTCAGTCTCTCCTCCTTTCTGTCTCTGTACGCTAGACTTCATCGGTATTTGCTTTAAAAAAAAAAGGGCCTGTACCCCTCCTCCTGAACCCACCCTCCTCCTCCTCACCCTGAAAGCCCCCCACCCCCTCTGCGCTCCTGCCTGCAGCTCCATTTTCTGCACGTTTCCAGAACGCAGCAGAGAAAAGCAGATCAATGAAGCGAGGCCTGAGCAGCAGAGGCCATGTGTGGAAATGTGTGTGTGGGGAGATGAAAGTGACATGGCCACTATTGTGTGTGTGTGTGTGTGTGTGTGTGTGTGTGTG